GATCTACTCAGACATGGCTGAGGTCGACATCATCATTGGTTTTAATAAAAGTAATGAAAAACAGTAAAGAAAAGAGATGAAGAAAGCTTCTCTATTGAAGAACTCGGACTTGAACAATCTTCTACAAAAATCGCATAAAAACGGCTAAAGGAAAGGGTTTCTGTAAACTATAAAGGGTGGTGTCTAAAAACGACCTAAATGACAAGTATTTATAGTCTTCAATACTCCATGGTCTCTAGGGTTCCGGAATTGAGGCTGAGAATGACTTTGGGCTTCAGAAATATGGGCTTTAGTTCGGAGCTTGATGGCCACGGTCGGGAGTGACATGACCGCGGGGATTAGGTGGCTGGCCGCGGTCAGGAGGCTTCTGACCGCGGGAAATGGGCTGTTGGCCGCGGTTGCGTGACTTGCTGGCCGTCTTCGTGTGGCTCCGAGGCTAATGGAATATCTTGAGATCCAACCGTTGGAATGTCTCTAAACTAAGTGCATTTGAAATCTGGTTGATTCTTCTATAAGTTGTCCAATTTTGATGGTGATCAGACGGTGAGAAGGTATTTGTCCCTCAATGAGAGTTCTGACGGTCTGCATTATCCAAAAGAGTCTTTTTGTTCCAATTTGTGCCTCTTTATCCCAAATTACCTGAAAAGTCTTTTAAAATCCGAAAACATAGAAATCCTTTAAAAACATTTGGAAATGGAGTAAAAAACACATGTAAAAGATATTAAAGTGATCCATAAAAATGGTCAAAATCCGGTGTTATCACTTCATCATCAGTACTTACTATCATTATGTCATCAACATAAACAAGGATTGCAAGAAATTTGCCATGCCATTGTTTAATGAATAGTGTATGATCAATGTAGCATTTCTCAAATCCCAAGTTAGTTAAAGTGGTAGAAAACTTGATGAATCACTGCCTAGAAGCTTGCTTCAAACCATAGATAGACTTCCAAAGGCGGCACACTGAATTTGGTGCAACTGTTTTCCCTTTAAGCTTAGCATATCCAGGTGGAAGCTTCATGTAGATTTTCTCATCCAAGTCATCATTTAAGAAAGCATTTGACACGTCAATATGATGAAGTGGCCACTTCAACTTTAGAGCAAGCGCCAAAAAAACTTCACAGTGGCAAGTTTGGCAACAGGTGAGAATGTGTCAAGGAAATCTATACCTTCTTGTTGGGTGAAACCCTTTGCAACCAAACGGGCTTTGTATCTTTCGATACAACCATCTGCATTATACTTTACCGTATAAACCCACTTACATCCGATAACAACTTTTTCTGGAGGTAGTTCACAAACCGACCAAGTGTGAGTCTGTTCCATAGCACCCTCAACACCCATAACATCACAACATACCTGAAATCCTTGGCTTTTAAATATTTCTCTGGTATAGGAGTGTTTGTGAGTGTATTAAGAAAGGCACAAAAAAGCTCAGATAAATTGGAATAAGAAATATAGTTTGTGATGAGATAGGGAGTTGTTACTTTAGTAAGAGTATTATTATAACAATGAAAATCCTGCAAATATTTGGGTAAATGTGTTTGTCTTCGAGATTTAGACCCAGAAGGAATAAAAGTCTCAGATGATGACACATCAGATTGATGTGCATCGGACGATGTTTGCACATGAGGCAAATGAACATCTATGGAAGCAGGAGTCTGTAATAAAGGAAATAAATATTTTGCATCATCTGCGATGGTAGATGATACAAAAGGAAAAATATCCTCATGAAAAATAATATGCCTTGAAACAGAAACTGAATGTGTTTATATATCTAGTAGCTTATACCCCTTGTAACCATTAGGATATCCTAGAAAAACACAGACTCTAGCTCTAGGTTCAAATTTGTTTCGACCTTTAGGAGAAGTTAAGTTATAACATAGGCAACCAAAGCTTTTCAGATTATAAGATTCAGGAATCTTATTCGTAAGCTTCTCAAAAGGAGATTTATTACCTAGAACCAAAGATGACAATCTATTAATGAGAAACACTACCGTAAGAACACAATCCCCCCCCCCCCCCAAAGTTCTAATGGAACCTGAGATTGAAACAAAAGGGCTCTAGCAATATTCAATAGAGGCTGATGCTTTCTCTCTACCACAGAATTTTGTTCAGGTGTTTCAGGTCAGGAATGATATGCAATACCTTTAGATGTATACAGTTCAGTGAATTTAAGTTCATGTGCATTATCTGATATAACCGATGTAACTTTCGTTGCATATTGAGTTTCAACCATTTGAGTAAATGCATGAAATATAGACAAGACATCTGATTTAGCATGAAGAAGATACACCCAAGTAGCTCTACTATAGTCATCTACTATCGTAAGAAAGTATTTATAACCATCAGTAGTTGGCACACAGAAAGGACTCCATGTATCGATATGAAGTAACTTAAATGGATGAGAACACATATTATTTTGAGACTTAAAAGAGAGATTTTTCTGTTTAAAAAGCTGACAAACATGGCAACAGCTAGAAGTCTTTTCAATATCTTTATTCTTTTTTTCAAGTTCAATACATCAGAAAGTACGTAAATCTATCTTGAACTGAGATGGATAACCCAATCTCATATGCCAAGTCTTAGAATCAACAAGCAAACTAGTATAAGAAGTAGAAATACCTGAAACATTTGCTAAAGACATCTTATCATTTGCAGAATTGAAATTCAGAACATAGATATTTCTCATTTGACTACCTTGACCAATCATCAATCCCGAGTAATTGCCTGAATGAAACATGCATCAGCAGTAAAACTAACTTTAGAATTTACTGACACTCAGAAAATTGAATTTAAATTCTGGAATATACAGCACACTATGCAAAGAAATAGCATCACCCAAGAATGAATCCTATGCCCACTATTTTAATTGTATATCCATTAGGGAAAGTGACGAAGGTACTATCTAGGGATCTAAAGGTGGTAAATAAGTCTTTATAATGTGTAACATGATGAGTTGCCCTTGAATCTATTACCCAAGCTCTAAGAAACACTTCTAGTGCTGTAGATATAGAGAAAATAAGCATGTCATAATATTTATGATTGGAGAAATCCAGAAATGTACCTGTTACCAAGGAGATAACAGGTGCAGAAGTTGAAGGTGAAGCACAAGTACCGACAGATGAAGGCGTAACACCAGGATGTGAAGCTTGACACTGAGGTAGGAGATCATTGTTTGTATCTGGTCCTTAGTCATAGTCTCGAAACTGTCCTTAGAAGTATCCATCTGTGGCTCTTGAGAAAATTGTGGAACACTACCAAGAGATGCAACGTTTATAGAGCCAACCGTGTGTGAAGGCTTGGCCTTAGGATGACCAGGAGGAAAGCCGTGTATCTTATAGCAGCGATCAACAGTGTGTCCAATCTAGTTGCTGTGTGAATACTTTGGTTTCTTGAAATTACCGTGAGCCAAGAAGATTTGAGAAGGATCAGTTGAACTTGAGTCTTGAACTTGAAAAGTAACCAGAGAATTTATTACCCTGACCAACCACACGTTGACTGTCATCCTGATCCAACATATTGTAGATTTCAGATAGTCCAAGACGAGGCCTCATGTTCAGTATATGACCCCTGATGTTAGCGAAGCTGTCATTCAACCCCATCAGAAATTGGATAATCTTGCTGGTTTCTGCATCTTCCAACAATTCCTTGACATTTTCACAGTTGCATTTATTTGCACACTGAGACTTAATATTTGCAAGCTGCTCCCAAAGAGTCTTCTTCTTTGTGTAGTAAGTAGACAAATCCCCAGAGCATTGCTTAAGAGTGTAAATGACATGTTCGAGCTGATACTTCCAAGGAAGATTACTCACACGAATTCTCAAATACAGATCATTCTACATCTCGGCTGCATCTTCGAAGTACAAAATACTGTTATAGATTTCTCTGTTCACTATGTTCATCACCCAAGCCTTAACCATACTATTGCAACTTCTCTAGATTGTGAACAAACTATCAGTAGTGTCTGGCCTAAGAAGAAATCCATCCATAAACGCAAGTTTATTTTTTGTATCTAGACTGATTCTTATTGCAATATACCAGTTATTGTAGTTTGAACCATCGAGTATGTGTGAAATAATAGAGAACCTGGATGATCGGCAAAATGCAGAAAATATGGACTATGAACATTATCTAAATATTCCATTCCAACAGAAATCATACTAGAAGTTGCACGATTCGCAGATCCAAGAAAAATCGAAGGTGCGACCAATTCCGGACCATCGGAAGAAGATGATCCAACTTTATTCTTCATTGCAGATCCATTCACTTCAGAAACGGTCGGTGTAGGTGAACGATTGTGTAGTTTCCTTCCTTGTTTTGCCATAGTAGTAGGTCAAAGCTTAATTGATTAATTGAACCAAGACGAAATTCACATGAGTGATTTGGGAGCTTCTGATGTTGAAAAAATTACAGATTTGAGATTGATTCAACTATTAATGGTGAAATAGAACATAAATCAAATAAAAACATGTGAAATCAGAAAGATGAATAGAGATTGCTGTGATATCATGTTAGATGAAGAGAATCCGTGAAAAACTACGGAAAAAAGTATTATGTTATTCACAATTTTCTAATTTATATACTGAACCAAAGTTAAAAAAGACTAAACCAACATATCGGAGAAAAATTAATCATTCGGTCAAAAAAAAAAAACTATAAGCATGGATCATACATTTTTCTGCGGAATGGCGGAATTGTGGAAAAAATTTTGCGGAATAGATTAAGCGACTTATAAGTCGCTTTTTTGCGGAATGACTTTTTCTTTGTATTTTTGTTAAGCAAAAACGCATTCCGCGTTTTTATGTGTATTTTTTCATTACGTGGATTTTTGTCGATTGGCAAAAAAACCTGCGGAATTGTGTTTAAAAACGCAATTCTGCTATTCCGCAGGTTACCAATCAGAGCCTAACTGTTAAAAGTCAAAAGAATTTGTTTTGGTTCAACAAAGTCAAACTTATCTTTACCCCAAAAAAAAAAAAAAAAAGCGATTTTTTTGTGGGTTGTTCCCGGGTAAGAAGTCGGCAATCTCCCTCTCGAATCCGACCTCATTCACACGATTCCTTTCTTCCACGTTACATTTTCTTCGATTTTCGTTTCCTTCTCTGGCAAGTCTATCTTCTCTTGCTCTCTTCATTTCCACTTCACACTTTCCCACTGTTACACCACAAAACCTATCCTCTCAATTTTTCCCCACCATTCTTTGTCGTTTTCTCAATCCACAATCTTAATTGGGCGATTGGAGGTGGTTTCGCTACTGTAATCGGATCTGATCTGATCGAATTTGATTGTTTGTTTTTGACCTGGATTGATCCCATGGAGAAGCAAGAGGACGGTGTTTGCGCGGCGGAGTTTGTCGACGGGAGCCTTGACGTCTGGAGTTGTAAAAATTCCGATTCTTCTTCCGCCGATCACCTCGTTGTTATGGTTCATGGCATCATGGGAAGGTAAGAACCAATACTCTCTCTCTCTCTCTCTCTCTGACTCTGCTGCTTATTGATCATTCGTTTATGTTGATTTCTGCAGTTCGCAGATTTTCCCAGTAATGAGAATTGTTCTTTCTCTTGTTAATTATACAATTTGGGACGAGAATTGTAATGTTTATCTCCTTGTTTTGCTTCTGTAGTACGGACGATTGGAAATTTGGAGCCGAAAAGTTCGTCAAAATGCTGCCAGACAAAGTATTTGTTCACTGTAAGTAGAAAGACTTGCTTTTACTCAATGGTTCTGATTAGTGATGATTTTAGGAAATTTTGCATAACTAGGGATTAGTTTCCTTTTTCAGAATAAACGATATATTATATAGTTACTGGTCCCTTTTGCCTAATCTTTAGGCTACTAATTAGGTTCTGTTTGTTCTATTTCTTGCTCCAAGATTCTTATGATCTTTCTGGTTTAAGCAGGTAGTGAGAAAAACGCGTCTGCGCTTACTCTTGATGGTGTGGATGTAATGGGTGAACGTCTTGCATCTGAGGTAATAAGAAACACATTCTTCCTATTTAAAGAAACAAAATGCGTGATAAGATGACACTCTTGCATGTGGTCAGGTTCGTGAAATTATTGAAACAAGACCAAACATCCGTAAAATCTCCTTTGTTGCACATTCTTTGGGAGGACTTGCAGCAAGATATGCTATTGGGAAGCTGTACAAGCCAGCTAATCAGGAAGATGTGAAAGGCTCTTCAGGGGACAGTAGTGAAGCGACTTCCGAAGGCACAATTTGCGGCCTCGAGGCTATGAATTTCATCACTGTTGCTACACCACATTTGGGTTCAATGGGTAATAGACAGGTAACTGTGGTTATGTGCTTGCGTGTTGCATTTATTGTAGCGAGTTGTTTTGCTAAATCGTCTTTACAAATTGTTTGAGATTGAAACAAAAATTCATTGCATAACATGATTCTGGTGAATGCAAAAAGAGTAAACATAGAAAGCATGACTTGTGTGATATCTTAATAAAGCTACTTTTAATCTGGCACTATGTTATAATGTATAGTCATGTATATAAGATATACTTAACAGTTGCTTTCTTGAAACCATAGAAATCTGTTTGTACGATTGAATTACCATTCCACTTATGACCGGATGTTATTCTCATGGGATTAGAACAATTTGGTATTTGCTTCCAGGTTCCGTTTCTCTTTGGTGTTTCCTCCTTTGAGAAAGTTGCAGGTCTCATTATCCACTGGATATTTAAAAGAACAGGCCGTCATCTTTTCTTGAAAGATGAAGAAGAGGGAAAACCACCCTTGCTTCGACGCATGGTGGAAGATACCGGTGACTGTCATTTCATGTATGCCCCATTTTTCACAAGTTAGTTCACTTAATCATGTCTCGAAGATGTTCTCACTAGAATATGTTTTCCTCTATTTACAGATCTGCACTGCGTGCCTTCAAAAGGCGGGTGGTTTATTCAAATGTCAGCTATGATCGTATCCTGTCTGTGTTACTTGTAGTAATATGCTCTTTATCATGTGCCATTACATTTTTATTCCTTTACGAGATCTGAATAGACATCGTTGGCTGGAAGACGGCATCTATTAGACGTGACAGTGAATTGCCTAAGGTATCTGACTCTTGACTGGATTTTACTTCATTTAGTTCAGGATTTTGATATGTTGGTTCTCTGATAGTTGAAGAATTTCTTGTTTACCAGTGGGAAGATTCTCTGAACGAGAAGTATCCTCATATTGTTTACGAAGAACTCTGCAAGTCATGTGATGCTGAGGACATACCAGAAGGCGAGAATCATCTAAATGACATAGAAGGTCAGCTTGCGCACTGCCGTTTAGGCGTTTGTCAGTTCTATTGTAGAATTTATTGTTCACTGCTCTTCTTATTTCTATTTCTGTTTTCTATACTATTATTCTCATTAGCTGGTAAAAGAAGTTAGTGTTAAACACAAACAGTTAATAGTAGTGCTTCTGCTTTCTTATATTCATGTACAGAGTTAACGTACAGGTACATCATGATGTTTTAGTAACGTGGTGCCTTTTCGATTTTTCAGAAGAAATGATCAAAGGTCTCTCCTCTGTCTCTTGGGAAAAAGTTGATGTTAGCTTTCATAGTAGCAGGCAGAGATTCGCTGCCCATAGTGTTATACAGGTCTCTCACTCTCTCCCGCCATTCCTCACGTGTCTAAAGATATAACATTTGTTTATCCTCCCTCATAAGCGTTTAATACTTATTACTGTCAATTCATTCAGATGAGTTCGATCTCCACATTCATTCTTGTAAAAAATATGAAGTCTAATAGCCCGTGTTTATGCCGTTTACAGGTTAAAAACGAAACTATGCATATAGAAGGAGCAGATGTCATAGAGCATATCATCGATCATTTCCATGCATAAATCATTAAAATTCATACAACTAAGGACTCGAGTTTCATAGGTAAGCAACAGTTTTCCAGTTGGACGGTATGTCATGTAGTTGTTTATACTATGATATCATCTCATTTTCTCTGTGATTGCAGGTAGCAAGACGTCAATTATGCAAATCACGTGATACATGGTCTTACCAACGAAGAAAATATTGTTCGATTCATTGTTTCATGTATTCATCAATATTATGCAATGAAAGTGTAAAATAGAGTACTTAAAGAACGGAAGTTTTGTGCCTATATATTCGATTATTCGTTCTACTTGGAAGGATTCCTACTGAGTTGGCGTTATCACTTGGTAATCAACGTCCTAACAACCAGGCTGAAGCACTAAACTGCAATCAGTTCACTCTCATATCTTTCATATTCCCCTCTGGTTGTTTCCTTTGTTTTGGTGACTTGGAATAGTCATATCATGTTGTAAGATGTGAACATGTTACGACCTTACAATCAATTACATCTGGAAGCAGAAGCTCTGGTGGAGCGGGCCACAAAAGCAATGGCTTAGATTTTGTATTTCTCTTTTGTTGCCTTACTCTTTTATATGCTTCAGTTCAATGGTTGCCTGTAGTATAACGGTTGCGTGCTTGTGACCATGTATGTGTTTATATATAGATATTCATTCTTTTGTGAAATTCTACGATGTCCAACAGAGGAGAGATTTGAGATCTGAAATGGAACTCTGTTGTTGGTTGAAGACCCACTTGGTTTGATGTTGTGCAGCGTGTATTCACCCTAGTTTCAATGTATCCCAGTGGTTCCAAAGTAGTTCTCTTGGCTTTGTAGGAACCTTTGCCCATGGTACTGTCTAGATATCTTATCAGTTACATCTCCTGGAGGTAGGTCCTGCTTCGCTTGGAGTCGGCATGTAAGAATTCAGTTCACCATCATCAAGAACTGGTATCAAACTATATGTTGCCATCTACTGTATTACCTGCTGAGCTTTTTTTGTTCTATTGTGAAATTTATAGGGTTGAAGCAAGGTGCATCTGCATGTGGGTGCCTGTTCTCTCAGACGACGACACAGTCTGGATTCATTAGTATGGTCTTGTAAGTTTGAACTTCCTCTTTGTTCTATAAAAAAACTATCATTCTCTTTAGTAGAGATAATTTGCATTCAAAAAGAATGAATGAATATAGCAAAGTATTTACAATCAACCAATCTAGAAGCTAACTCATTCCATGAGGTTTATTGAATACAATCCTTAAGATTAACAAGTTTTGTCATTATTGTCTTCTTTGGGCTTTTCTTGTGGATGATATATTATATAATCCAAAGTTGCTGATGTCACCTAATGTTGGAATTTTCCCCATATGACCCCAGAAGCTTACTTAACCACGAGTTGAGAGTGTCCAAGAGATGGATAAGGAGATAACGGAGGCACAGAGAATAGTCTCATCCCATTACCGTCTACTCCGTCCCAAAACCCCATCCAATTTGACGGCGTTAACGGACAAGCCTCACCCTGAGCTTCCGTCTCTTCCCTTTTCACAGCTTTATGGCTGCTCTCATGGCTTTCTTCATCCATTACTTGTCTCTTCCTCTTAGCTTTCAAAGGCACAGTCTTGTTGTTGTTGTTGTTGCCATCGTCTCCAAAGTCCTCGTGCTTGCCTGCTTCGAGTGGGAAGTTAAGAATGGCTTTGCTTCCTCGTAGTTTAAAAGCAGCCTTGTCGTAACTTCTTGCAGCTTCCACGGCTGTGTCAAAAGTACCTAACCATACACGAACACCTTTCTTGTTTGGGTCTCTGATCTCAGCTGCGTACTTACCCCACGGTCTTCTCCTCACGCCTCTGTAATGCCTTTGATCATCCTCTTGAGCCACCACCGGTGGTGAAGTAGTAGGAACTGCGATGGTGGCAAGAGGTGGCTTGCGTTGGCTTAGAGTTGAGGAGGTGCAGTGGTTGATGCTTGAGACGAAGGTCTCTATAGAAGGGAAATCGGTAAGGAGGTGTTGAGTTATGAGATCTAAAGCTGATTGGTCATGTTCTTGTTGTGAAGAAGAAGCCATAAGTTGAAACTGAGAGTGGAGTGTTGTTTTTGTGGTTTTTGATTGTTTGTGAATTTTTTGGATTTTGAGATTGGAGGGTTATATAAAATGAGTGAAGTGAGAAGTTTCGTAGTTAGCTTCTTAGGTTGAAGAGAGGAAGGATCATTTTCAATTCTTTTGACTTGTTTAGTTTGTGGTTTTGTTTTGGAGTGTGGCAAGTGGAGTCTCTAAATTATTATTTTAAAGATATTGTGTATTTTTGTCTTTTATCGTGAGGGCCCATTGTTAAAGCTAGTGTCTATTTCCAGGCTTCTTCATATACGAAACACACAAATTAACAAAAATTGTTTTTTTTAAGAGAAATTTGAAACAGAAAATGACACTTTATTGCGTTGATTTACTTACTGGGTCGTTGGAAATTTAGAATTGCTCTTTTGGCTGCACTGTTTGAGACTTATCTTTTTGTTAATTTTATTTTTTCTTGTAACCGATCTTTTTATAAAATTGTTTGAAGCTATAATTTTGTTACTTGATTTTTGTTTATTTCACGGCTAAGCTATGAAGTGTAGAATTATGACTTATGAAGAGCCACTTGCCTATTTTGGACAATGAAAGTTTGAATTTCCTGCATGCATGTTGTGTTTTTTGGAGACATGTCCGATTAAATTTTCATGGTCAAGATTTGAAAATTTAGTCTATCACAAAAAGTAGATTTCCAAAATTTTCATAATGAAATGAAAAATAATATATAATCAATCTTAATAAAAAAAATCCAACAAATTCTCATACTAAGTGGTTTAGGGATCTGTTTGCCAGCCGAACTAATTAATTTAAATACTTTAATCTATAATTTAAAGTATATTTTTTTTCAAAATAATAATAATACAAAACAAGAAAAATAAATTAAAATTTTATAAAATATTTTAACTCTATAAATAGTTTATAAAAAATACAAAAACACAAAAAAACTAATATTTTATTATTGAAATATGGTTTTTTTGCATTTTTCCCTATAAAATTGTTTATTAAATTCTCATAGTCGAGTTTTTCAACCATAGATGTCTCAATAGATAACAAAGCTAGCCCATTTAATCGCTCTTAGAAGATCGCAAATAATTCTTTATCAGCTTTAACTTCGAAAAACTTCTTTCACAAGTAGTAACCAATACCGGAACTGTCAATAATATGCGATATGAAACTTCTGTGTTTTGATAACAATCCTCCATTTGTTTCAAAAAATCAAGCGCTTCATTAAGCTTCTCAACTTCATTTGCTATTAATTCTCAGAGAATTTTTAGTTCCATAAACAGATCATCGCCAACTATGTCTGCATACCATTCGTTGAGAAACTTTCAAGTCTGCAAATTCTATTTTCTTTCTAAAATATAATTTGTTGTCCTTAACCAATATTTTTTTAGAGAAAAGTCCATAAACATTACAAAAAAAAATTACAAATATTATTATTTTATAAAAAAATCTTTTAAATTTTTGTTTATTTATGTATACTTAAAAAAAATTAACCAAAATATGCCTCCGTAAATTGGATGTCCCAATTCGTCGCCTACTTCACCTATGCTTTGGGCCGGCCCTGCTTTTGCAAATTTTTTGTTTTTCTTTTTTGTTGCTAAAATTTGTTCATAATTTAGTTTCGGTATGGGTCACAACACACATACTTGTAACAACAAAAACTTATATTAAAAATCAAGCTCAAGTACCTCACTAAGCTAGCTTTAACATTCTGTAAGCAGGGCCGGAGAGTCCAATTTATTAAAGTTTAGAGACTTAAGCTTACGATTTTTACTAGACCACGACATGTCCAAGTATCCAACGGTAGTCAAAGAATCGTATTTCGAATATTCAAGCCCTTTTTGCTCTTAGAGGCAACGAGCTGTATACGCCTATACCACTACTCTCTATGGGCTAAGCTATGTTGTATAGATGACTAAAAACTTTGTATTTATAGATCGTGGAGATCAAGCCCATAACAACAATTTAATGTCCCGATCCATTTTGTGTTTCCGTTTTGTCCTATATTCGCCAACGAGAGCTAGGAAACAACGATCAAAACACAAAAACCGCCAAAAAAAAGTACGTGTCGCAAAACAAACCCATCTTTACTCTCTTTAACACATGCAACGGCTGCATGAAAACACTCTCGACACGTTGCATATCTCAAGCCGGTCCCATCTTCTTCATTTCATATTATATATCATCATTGCTTACTCCCAAAAATGTATATTACTATATATATACCATCTCTTATTATTTTTACATTTTTGTTGTTGGATCAAGCGATCATAAAAAAAAAAAAAAGAATCAATGGCGGACCAAACAAGAACCCACCAAGACATAATAGTCCGAGACACTAGTTTCCCGGAGGGGCGAGACCATCCGAAGGCGAGGCAGATGGTGAAGGCAGCAACCGCCGTCACAGCCGGTGGATCACTCCTTGTCCTCTCCGGCTTAACACTCGCCGGAACAGTGATCGCACTCACGGTGGCTACTCCTCTACTTGTCATTTTCAGCCCTGTCTTGGTCCCGGCAATGATCACCGTCGTTCTCATCATCACCGGATTCCTAGCCTCTGGTGGCTTTGGCATAGCCGCCATTACCGCCTTCTCTTGGCTTTACAGGTAATGTGACGTGACCTATACGTTTTGAAAACCTAGCTTGTAATGCACACTAATATAGGTGAAGAGTTTTTGAATATCGGAGAATCAGAGAATGATAATATGATGAATGTGTTTAGGCACATGACGGGGGCTGGAGCGGATCAGAGGATAGAGAGTGCTAGAATGAAGTTTGGGAGCAGAGGCCAAGACACCAAATTTGGGCAGCACAACATTGGAGTCCAACAACAACACCAACAAAAAGCTCTCTGAAAATTCAATATCAGATAAAACGAGAATTCCACATCAAATTTCTCATCCATCGTTTGATCTGTTTTCTTTGTTTTTCTCCAACGTTTGTGTTTGGAACGTTACGTGTAATAATAACATGAGTGTATGTTGTCAATCTTCATCTTTGTTAGTTCTTTCTTTGAAACATTTGTTATTTTGATCCTTCATGTTTTGTTATTGGAGTACCTACGGTGTCTTCATGTTCTGTAAATTGGTTTTTATCTACCACATCATCGTCAATATTATCTTTCACTATGAGTTTTAAAAGAAATCATAATTTTTAAAGAAAACTGCAGCTAATTCAAATTTTAAAAACTTGTATATGCTCCAAAAACTTTATTCTACATCAGAGCGATGTCATTGTGATTAAAAAATGAGGCAAGTCATTAAGGACAATAGCAGAGATCATAGTGTGGCAATAGTAATGATGAACGATCTCGAATAGAGAAACTAAACCTCGAGACATCATCGTGAGAAGCAGACAGAACAAGGTAGTATAGTTCTGATATTTTGCGGTTTACAAATTAATGTACCAATAACAGCAAATGATCTAACTTCAGTAATCTTATTAACTTTCACCATGTGCTCGTGATCATCTATATGCTAACAACCAGCATATTCCTTTGTGTAGTAGATATTAGAAAATTGAAACAAAAAAAGAAACAAATGAAAGATTGATTCGCAAAGCGCCACAGCTTCATCTATTTCACTCAAGTCACAGGGGCTTTGTTCTCCAATGGGGTGAAGGAGAAATTTCCAGAGAATATGGACTCTTTATCTGTGCATCACAAAACAGAACATTATAGGAAAGGCATGTCTATTTCAAGTGCGAAGTGCTAACTACACAAGCAAAATGATTTGTATGTTGCAGCCAATAAAGCATTATAAGATAATGGGAAGTTAGTATAAGCACCTGTTAAAGAAAGAGAACCAACTTCTCTCCGGACATATCTTGCCATGGCCTGAAACACACACAAGCTATGTATCTCAAAACAGTTTGGTACACAAAGCCTAAATTTGTATGTATGTGTATGTGTGTGTTTGTGAGAAATGTAGAGAGAGGGAAGTCATGCCTTTGCTGCTTTTAAATCCGTTTCATCAGGTGTTGTGATTCCATCGTCAGAAAATATGTTCCTACAATCCAATTCCATTTTCAGGTCCTGAGAGAAACATGAATCTATGGCTGCCATAACATGTACACATTCAACCATTTGGCTGTGTAATCTCTACCAGCACGGCGTTACAGAAGCTTTTTACCTCCATAATTTGATTTGTAGTTCATTTGGTTTAGCTTCCGGAAGTAACGCAGAATCATAGGCAACAACGTTTCCATAAAAGATTCTCTCTAGTTCCTTCATCCACTTATGCAGAAGCAAGTTAACCTGCACTTTCAAAAATGATTAAGACGATCTTATTTTAAGGAATCTAAGAACATTAGATTTGTCTTGGATGCCACAATCAGGCAAAACCAAGTCTAGCACATACCCCGGCTTTAGATACCCTGAGTTCCACATCATGATTGTAGATCTCATACACATGTTGACCAATATCAACACCTTCCTTTCCCTCTTCTTTCAAGCGGCGTAAAACAAGCCACATGTGAAGTACAAGCAACGAATACGTTATTTTGAATGTTTTCTCCAAGTTGAATACTGCAGCAGAGACAAAGCACACAAAGTATTTACATAAATTCGGTCTGAAACAAAAAGATAAACATATCTTCAGTGTTCTATTGTGTTGGAAACCAAATAAATTACCCTCATATATAGCAGGTTTGTCGACTTGTGAAACGATCCGCTTGTAGATCACGTTTGCACCACGGATAGATATGCTCTGTTTGCTGTAGAACAGAAGCAGCTTTAGTATGAAACGACGAATCCCTTCATAGTTTGGCTCATCGATTCTGAGAGGAGAGTCTTTGGGCAGAGCCAATGAACATGGCTTTGACAAAAACATCTTATCCAAGTTTATCTGTCAACCACAGAACAAATACTTTTCGTCATAATATGCAGAACAGTAGAAGAAAGAGCATGAATCTAAATAACAAATAGATTTCTCTATATACTAATGGAAACTCCAACATTAAAAGAGGTGAATCCAAGTCCATCTTCGTTGTAAATGCTTACAGGTAAAACCTAAATAGATCCAACAAAACTACAAACATAGTCCAGATTCAGCTGATGCTCAAGATTGCAATTCTATTAACATAGAAACAATCCGCATCAAACAGACATTTTTATAAACGAGCTTAGCTTCGAATCCTATATTGCGACATGAACATCAATAGAATCAAGCACTAAATGATCGATCATAGACTGAAAATGAAACCAGTAATAGCTAGTTCTGGGTACGAGATCTCTCAGCTGGGTAAACAAAATGTTGGGATTTGAGAACATACCGGAGATTTGCTGGGGAAATCCTTCTCAGCCGCCGGAGCTACAGTCGCGTACCCATAGCGCGAGAAAAAGGAGGGATTTTGCGTCGATCCATTTGTGCATAAAGATCGAAGCTTTGAGATTTGAGTAACAGCTCGACTCAATCTGGGCAACATTTGGAGAAAGCCCTTGTGGTTTTCAGTCGATCGAGGAAGGAAATTGAATGAGTGTAATGATCGAAATCTAAAACCCTAGGTGAAAAACCCTCTCCGGCTTCTGTTGATTGATGATGGGGATGCTACTCGTCCACGTTAGCGCCTATTCGGCCAGATACTGCAGAGGCTAACTTACGCCGCTACAGAAATGTTTGCTAAGGGAGAAAAAAAAAACTAAAGTGGAAGAAGTTTTACCCAAACGAAAATAATCAATATGAAAATCAAATTACATATTAATTTGATTAATAAACAGATTCATTTTCATTTTCGAATAACTGAATCCCAATCCAAAAACAAAATTGATCTACAAGTTATCTTGAAACATTGATATATTTGGTCTCACTTTCACCGTATCAAATTATTTAAACCATCAATAATATATATATATATATATGTATTTATAGATTATACATCAATATCTCAAACATACCTTTTTTTTATCTAATTCAAACATATGAAGTTTGCTTTTTTAATAAGTTTGGCACATTGATTGGCTTGCCTTTCCTTGAAAGTGCTGATTGGTCTAAACAATTTTTTATTTGGTACTGTATACGCTTTGAAGTTTGAAGCTTTGGCCATTCTAAAAGGCTTGGCTAATACTTTTACCAAAACACATGTGAGTCACTTTCAAACACTCTCTCTTGAAAAACCAAGATTATCTTAAGCAAACTATAGTCAAGAGAGGAGTTGTTGCTTCGCCTATACCAAAACATGTGACCTCAGGTAGGTTTTTTCCCCAAAACCATTTCATTTCCAGTCTTCCAGTACCAAACCAATCTCATAAGTCTAATTAGCTAGCAACCTTCCAAGTTGCATCAATGATATACTTAACTGACATTTTTTCTAGAAAAGACCACTTGATTAGATGAATTGATCGGTTCTTTAATTTCTTATATGGTTTTTAACTAATATATAGTACTACGATCCAAGTTTTGCCAAAATTAGACCAAAGTACTGTATATCTCATACGGTCAAAATGTGTCTTTCCTTTTACCTAAATTGACAAGACTATTCACACCAACATCCCTTGAGAGACACATTTTAGTTCTTTCTTCATAATGTTAGCCTTCTTTTCAGAGTGGTTAATATCCTAAGAGAACCAAGTCTTGATGTACAAAAAAATAAGGAGTTGATTCTATAATTTGAGAGTCTTTTTCTTTTCGATGATTAGCTAATGCCTACGCTCCTGCCAAATTTAAAACAACAATGATTCTCAAAGCTATATATAAGAAATAAACAACCTTTATGATTCACAAACCTGGACCTGATATATTCACGAATCAAAAGTGTCATGTAACTTGCACAAAACACGATTCCAAAAGACTTTGTCAATACGCTGTACTTCGACTTCTCTACAATTTCGGGTTCCTCCTTAAGCTCTTAATTATTTTGCAGGGCATTTCATTGTCGTTTACAATTTGTCAACTCAAAAACTTCTCGAGTATCTTAAGCAAACTATAGCGAAGAGAAGAGTTGTTGCTTCTGCCTATACCAAAACATGTGACCTCAGGTAGGTTTTTGCCTCTACACCATTTCAATCCACTTTTTCAGTACCAAAACCAATCTCACAAGTCTAATTAGCAAACAACCTTCCAAGCTGCATCAATGATATATTTCAACTGATTTTTTTCTAGAAGAGACCACTTGATTAGATAAAAAGATTAGTTTTTTGAACATTTTTATATAGTCCTCAACTAACATATAGTACTAAATTATACCAAAAATTCAAACCCGAAATGTGTGTATAACATAATATTGGCCAGATAGGTTAAAATTTTTATTTTTATTTTACCATTGCCACATGCATCTTGTGAAGTATTTTTTACTGGTATCCACTTGCCATTTAACATTTTGTCATTTATCCAAATGAAATTATAATGTAGTTTTAGTGTTAAAAAAGGGAAATAGCATCAATTTTTTTTTAAAAAAAAATTAGCAGTAATCGATAATTTATATAAGATAAATTTAAAATATGAATTGCTGCCAACTTCAAAATTTTGATGTGATTTCTATATAAGTTGGAAGATTTTATACTAAATACGTGAAAAATTTAATTTTATAAACCCTAAAACTAGATTTCGAGTTTGCGCAGTCATATAAATTAATGATAATCTTAGCTTTGAAAATTTTGAAGTGTTAGTGGCAACTACTTATAATTTTTTTTTGGAGAAATTCAGACATTTTTTCCCAAAACAAACTCTTCACGTCAGAGAGTTAGTACGATTCAGACATTTTTTCTTAAAAGAAAAAAGGAAAAAAATTACAGTGTTTGAGCTCCACAAATATCATTATATATTTTTTGCTAAAGACGCTCTTCTGTATCACTTTTTTTTTTTATCTAACTCAAACACACATTAGTAAATCGTAATTAACAACACACTTGTTTGGAAACATATAGAAGTTTGCTTGTTTATAAGATCGGCACATTGATTGGTTTGCCTTTTCTTGAAAGTAATGATTGGTCTAAACAATTTTCTTATTTGGTATATGCTTTGAAGCTTTGGCTATTCTAAAAGGCTTGGCTACTGCTTTTACCATAACAAGTGATTCACTCTCAAACACTCTCTCTCTCTACAAACCAAGATTATCTTAAGCAAACTATAGCCAAGAGAAGAGTTGTTGCTTCTGCCTATACTAAAACATGTGACTTCAGGTAGGTTTTTGCCCCCAAAACCATTTCATATCCGCTCTTTCAGTATCAAACTTATCTTATAAGCCTAATTAGCAAGCAACCTTCCAAGTTGCATCAATGATATACTTAAACTGACATTTTTTAAGAAAGAGCATCTGATTTGATAAAAAAAGATTAGTTTTTCATGTTTTTTAATATAGTTTTTAACTAACACATAATACTACGGTCCAAGTTTGCCATACGGTCAAAATATGTCTTCCTTTTTGCCAAAATTGACAAGACCATAATGTCATACGGTCACACCAACATCCCTTGAGAGACACATTTTAGTTCTTTCTTCATAATGTTAGCCTTCTTTTCAGAGTGGTTATTACCTTAGGAGAACCAAGTCTTGATGTATAAAAAAAATAAGGAGCTGATTCTCTAATTTGAAAGCCTTTTTTTTTTCTACGATCAGCCAATGCCTACGCTCCTGCCAAATTTAACACAACAGTGATCCTCAAAGCTATATAAAAGAAATAAACAACTTTTATGATTCAGAAAACTTGGACCTGATATATTCACGAAGCAAAGTGTCATGTAACTTGCACAAAACACGAGTCCAAAAGACTTTGTCAATACGTTGTACTTCGACTTCTCTACAATTTCAGGTTCCTCCTTAAGCTCTTAAGCATTTTGCAGGGTATTTCATTGGCGTTTGCAATTTGTCAACTCAAAAACTTCTCTAGTATCTTAAGCAAACTATAGCCAAGAGAAGAGTTGTTATACCAAAACATGTGACCAGCTCAGGTAGGTTTTTCCCCTAAAACCAGTTCATTTCCACTTTTCAGTACCAAACAAATCTCACAAGTATAATTAGCAAACAACCTTCCAAATTGCATCAATGATATACTTAAACTGACTTTTTTCTAGAAGAGACCACTTGATTAAATGAAAAGATCGGTTCTTCAAACTTTTTTATATAGTTCTCAATTAACATATAGTAAAAATTCTAATCCAAAATGTGTGTATAACATAATATTGGCCCGATAGGTTAAAATTTTTATTTTACCATGCCACATGCATTTTGAACCATTTTAGTTATTTTTTTTTGATGCCAAATGCTTCAATATTTTTTATTGTATGCACTTTCCATTTAACATTTTATCATTTATCCAAATAAAATTATATTATAGTTTTACTTAGTATTAAAAAAGGGAAACAGCATCAAAAAATTTTAAATATTGGCAGTTATCAATATTTTAAACTTTTCATACACGATATATTTAAAATATGAATAGCTGTCAATTTCAAAGTTAAGTTTTGATACGATTTCTTTATAAATTAGAAGATTTCATACTAAAAAACGTGAAAAAACTAATTCTATATAAATCTTAAAACTAAATTTTAAATTTGCATTTAGAAGATTTTATACTAAAAACGTTAAAAACCTAATTTTATAAACCCTAAAATTAGATTTTGAATTTGAGCCGCCATATATAAATTAATGATAATAGTAGCTTTGAAGATTTAAAGTGTTAGTGATAACCACTTTAAAACTTTTTTTGGAGAGCAATTCAGACAGTTTTTCCGAAACAAAATCTTCACGTCAGAGAGTTGGTAAGAATCAGACATTTTTCTTAAATAAAAAGAGAAAAAAGTTTACTGTCTTTGAGCTCCACAAATGTCACTATTTCTTTATTGCTCCAAAGCGCTCCTCTGTATCCGCGTTAAGATAATTCTCAAAAATTAGGGCTTTTTTGTTTTTGTTTTGATCCTCACCTTCTTCTTTCAATTCGTTGAATCTCCTCTGCAATTCGAAGCTTTCCTTCCCAGATTCTACCTCCTATTTGCTCTCAATTCCGAATTTTTGAATTAGTCCGATAAACTCATTTTCAAGGAGTTTCGAGGTCACTGTTCAATTTCACCCATTTCGTTTCCTGCTAATCGCGTGAAATTGATTTTCTGCTTCTAAAATCATGAAATGACCCTCTTTTGTTGTTTTTTGTTTTCTTCGCAGGTTGAAGCTGAAGCATTTTGTTGTCTGTGATGGTATTTGTGATGATCTCGTAGCGAGAATGCCAGGCATTCCTCTCGTCACTCGTGAAACCTCTTCGTATGTTCTCTTTCACTATACTAATTTCAAAGCTCAAGGCTTTTCTTTTAATCTTTGAAGAATGGATCTTCCTTTTTCCATTTTCCCCCAAATTGTTATATTATGTATTGGCATTGTGAAATCTAGACCATCTCTATTATACTGAGTATGCTTATGGACTCTTTGGTACAATAGTTGACAATTTGGTGGTGTATGAATCGCAGTTGTTCAAGAAGCACAGATACAGATCAGATGTGCCATGAAGACCACCGTGTGCATATTTCTGAAGAGGAAGAGATCGCTGCTGAAGAGAGCCTCGCTGCCTATTGCAAGCCTGTAGAACTCTACAATATTCTTCAGCGGCGTTATAAAGGGAATGTATGTGTTTCTTTGCCTGCCTGTCTCCTATTTTTGTTTTCTTTTCTGTAGAGGAATGTGTATAAACCATGTGTGATGACATATAGCTCAGTTTCTGGTTTACTTTTGATGTAGATAATTCCCATGGAAGTGTAGTTTGCGTGTATTTCGTTTCGTATAAGCAAGCATGTGTTCTCTTGCTAGAGACCATCCTAACCATTTATCTCTCTTTCTCCCTTGTAGCCCTTGTTTCTTCAGCGATGTTTGCATTATCAGATTGAAGCAAAACATAAAAGGAGGTAAATTTTTGTTTTTCTGTTCTTGTTCAGAATCTCCATTACAGTTGTGCAATTACTAGATTATACCTCAACCATTGTTTGGGAAGATGTTTTTTTTAAGAGTTTACCCACTGGTGGATAGTAATGAATAGTTTACTATTGTGCAGAATACAAATGACTGTGTTCCTTTCGGGCACTATAGATGCAGGGGTACAAACTCAAAAACTGTTCCCTCTGTATATTCTGTTGGCAAGACTCGTTTCCCTTAAGCCTGTCGCCGAGGTAGGCGTTTAAACCTCAGAAAAAACTGGATTGATATTTATCTGATTTCATTTGTAACTTATCTTTTGATAGCTAACTTCTTTTTTTTTTTTTGAAATTCTCAAATTATAGTATTCTGCAGTATATAGGTTCAGCCGAGCATGTATTCTAACTGGTGTCCTGGGGGTTGATGGAGTTAGTCAAGCCCAAGCCAACTTTCTTCTCCCTGATATGAACAGACTCGCGTTGGAGGCAAAATCAGGATCACTCGCTATCTTATTTATCAGCTTTGGTAATTAAGATTGACTGGTGTACAGAATTATTTGAAGGAATTCATATATGTAAAGTATCCAGATAAACTGATCATATTGTTTTCTTTCTTGTAGCTGGTGCGCAAAATTCTCAGTTTGGCATTGATTCAGGCAAGATCCACTCAGGTATTTGCATTCTTCATTGATCTTACATTTTTAACTTAAAAAGGGGGTGTGTCTATTTGGACATACCATATGTTTACATGTCATAATGTGGACATATAGAAACCTCAGTCAGTCAGTCCTGTTTCATAACAAAATGAATCAGGGATGCTTTGACTCTAGTTATAAGAGTTCCTGAGCGTCTCGTTCTTCTCTAACTCTATCATCATGAGAGTCTCTTTTTTTTTGTCTGGCAGGAAATATAGGAGGACATTGTCTATGGAGCAAAATACCTTTGCAATCGCTCTATGCATCGTGGAAGAAATCTCCAAACATGGATTTGGGACAGAGGGTAGACTCAGTCTCTCTTGTTGACATGCAGCCTTGCTTCATAAAGGTAATATTTCCTCAATCATTTTCTTAATAGACTCTTTAAGTAGATTATGCTCTTCTCTTTTCGACAACTCCTTATTCCCTGTAGTGAGATGAGGACTCTGGATTTAACTTCTTTCATGTAATTTGAAAAAGTAAATTGCAATCAATTGCTAATGTGAATTTATTTTTGCTGTAAGTTTACAGTCTTGACCATATAAATGAAATATTACTCGTAAACTTGTCCAATTCTGCAGCTAAAGTCTCTGAGTGAGGAAAAGTGTGTCTCGATTCAGGTTCCCAGCAATCCCCTCACCTCGGTAATTTTTCTCACTTTGCTATATTTCCATCTGTTATTCTGAAACTATTATGTAACAGTATCTCACAATTCTTATAATTCTTGTTTTTGAAGAGCTCACCGCAGCAAGTGCAAGTCACCATATCTGCAGAAGAGGTTGGGGCAACGGAAAAATCTCCTTATAGTTCATTTTCATATAATGACATCGCTTCGTCTTCACTGTTGCAAATTGTTAGGTAACGTCAGTTTAGTCTACGTACCTCATCTCATTATGATTTTTTTTTTTTTTTTGGTTGTAATTGTATACACTCTGTTGACCTGTCTGCTATCTCCCTTAATCAATAGTTGTGAGTTTATAATGTCTATCTCTTCGTGTTGACTCTAAGTCACTCTGCTACGTTCCTCGCACAGGTTGAGAACAGGGAATGTAGTTTTCAATTACAGATACTATAACAACAAATTGCAGAGGACTGAAGGTAATTTTTGTATAATCACTAACCTGTTTCGTACCAATTTATTTGGATATATCATATTATATGTGTTATCTTTCGTGTTGCACATTACATTTTGGATTCTATTGCTTTTTTTCTTGCAGTAACTGAAGACTTTACATGTCCATTGTGCTTAGTAAAATGTGCCAGTTTCAAGGTGGACTTTTTCATTTCCATTCTCATTCATACCTCTCAGTCAAAGATACAGCTGTAATAACTAGTCTTTTTAGTGATGCAATGTTTTCTTTTGTTCTCAATCATGTTGTAGGGCTTAAGATATCACTTGCCAGCAACCCATGATCTCTTCAACTTCGAGTTTTGGGTTTGTAACTTCAAAGTTCAGTTAGCTATTGCTCTTTTTTAGAATTTTCTTTTTTTTAATAGTGCCACTAATTTGCTCCACTTGGTTTATAGGTAAATGAAGAATATCAGGCTGTAAATGTCTCTCTCAAGACGGAGACAATGATCACCGAGGTAAGAGCACCTTGTTTGTTTGATTTATGTCCATTAGTGTCTCTGCTGTAGACCTTTTAGGCTATGAAAATTTCAATTTCCAAACTAGTCTCCTCAATGAGTTGTTGACTTTTGAGTGGTTAAATAGGAGAACTGGAATGTTTCATAGTTATTTGCCACATTATGATCTCTGCTATTTTCCTTAATGAAATGAAGAGAATAAAATCAAAGTAACATCGCTGAGGCCCTTAACCTATGTGTCCATCAAAGCTAGACTGTAGAATAAAGTTCTGAATTACAGATAGGAGTGACAAACCTTTTTGAAGTAGTTGGTGCTATATTACATTCTATTATTTCCTTCATTTTTCCAATTTAATGATTACTCTTAACACTGTTCATAAAAAAACTTCTCAGATTAATGAGGACGGTGTTGACCCAAACAAGCAACCATTCTTTTTCTCGTAAGCTATCTAACCTATTTTGTTGCCTTTACTTATCTTACTAGCATTTCGCTGTCAGTTATCCAAACCATAAATTTTCTACAATATATGACAGTTCAAAGAAATATAGACGTAGGAGGCAAAAGAGTCAGGTACGAAGCTCAAAGCAGGGGAATCATCTTGGATTAGGTTGCGAGGTGCTAGAGAAGACTGATGGTATGTGTTTGATTGTAATGAATAGTTACTTGGATTTGTGGTATTGGCTTCTTTTGCGATGAGAGCCTGTCTTAGTTTTATAGTTACGAGTAGTTAGCTTTTTATTTTTCTTTTCAGATGCTCATTCTGCTAGAAGTGAGAAGAGCCGAATACAACCTGGAAAGCTTCACGAAAGAACTGGGGGTGCTGAGTCGTCTGGTCAAAGAGTTCCTCCTGGCACGAGTCCTGCAGATGTGCAATCATGCGGTGATCCAGATTATGTGCAGTCGACAGATGGAAGTACGATGTTGCAATTTGCAAAAACGAGAAAGCTATCTATAGAACGGTCGGATTTGAGGAAGTATGTTTGTCTTTCTTTTGTCTTTGATTCTATTTTACTACACATGGTTCATTCTTCGAAATTTCTATCCTAGATGTATTACAAGTATCCCAAATCATATGAGTGAGTTTTTCATTTGTTGTCTCCTCCAGCCGTAGCCTCCTTCAGAAGAGACAGTTCTTCCACTCTCATCGAGCTCAGGTGATCTATTTCTCTAGCTCTCTAGCTCTCTTGCTTATGAAGATTACAATTGATTGTGATATACTCTGTACTATCGCAGCCCATGTCTCTAGAACAAGTACTCTCGGACCGAGATAGTGAAGATGAAGTTGATGATGATGTGGCAGATTTTGAAGATAGAAGGGTATGTTTTACAATTTAACATTTTCACCCGCTTTAGCTTACTTTCATTTAACTTGCATCTGCTAGATAAAGTTCAGTAGTTTGGTAGTATGGTAGAGACATCAAAACCAGAGTAATGTGGTTATATAACACTTGTTAAAGAACGAAACGTCTCTGTTTGTTCTTGGTTCTAAAATAGTTTGTCTGATTCCCCGTTACATTACAGTGAATGATTTTTTCTTTTTACTATATGAAACTCTTCTTTCTTTCAGATGCTCGATGATTTCGTTGATGTGACCAAGGATGAGAAGCAGATGATGCACATGTGGAACTCGTTTGTGAGGAAGCAGCGGTATGTCTTATCTCTTCTCAGTACATGTGTAACAGTTTGTGATATTCCTGCATGTGTAACCATCCATTACCTTGACACTGGTTTTTGACCCATTTTGCAGAATATTAGCAGATGGTCACATTCCATGGGCATGTGAGGCGTTCTCGAGATTACATGGACCCGTCATGATTCGAACACCGAACCTGATTTGGTAAATTAAGTCTCGTTTTCTCCATTGTTTAATTTGTCAAATGTTTCAAGAGAAGAAAGTGGGTTTTATTGATAAATGTGAGTATTTTGTGTAGGTGCTGGAGAGTGTTTATGGTGAAACTGTGGAACCATGGCCTTCTTGACGCCCGAACCATGAACAACTGTAATACCTATCTCGAACAGCTCAAAAGTTGAAGACCCATATATCCATTATTTAAGTAGAAACAAAAAAAAAGTGTACACATTGAGGAGTTTTGGGTCTCAGATCTCATTTTTAAGAACTCTTTGGTCCTTAATCCTTTTTGGTTTTGGATGTTAACAGTTTAAATTAATCCTGTTTCGTTTTGGATGTTATTAATTTACATTTTTTATTCAGGAGTTATTAATTTGCTTAACATAATGAAATTGGTAATATTACTTTTTTTCAGAAATATATTTTACCCGATATATGGTAATAATGTATTCAGTGTAAGTGAGGGCACTCGTATTTGTCTCGTAAAGGTTTTTCAAAGTCATTTATAAAAAAAAAGGCACTAAAGAATTGTTATCATTATTGAAAAGCAAATAAACTCCATAGTATCATAGCAGCCAACCAGGTTTTGATGGAATATATGTATTCACAAAAAGATCCATCAAAATTGAATTTGGTCTGATTGGTTTATTGTTGATATATAATTATCACGGTAAGAGGTAAAACACTAATATTCGAATCAAAAGTTTCGTTTTATTAAAAGATAGATTGGAAAAATACAATTTTAACTTAGTGTGATTGGTTATTGTTGATATATAATATCACACTAAGAGGTAAAACAGTAATATTCGAATTAAAAGTTTCGTTTTATTAGAAGATAGATCGGAAAAATACAATTTGAGTTAAAATAGTCATAGTTTCGACGACCTTGTTAACAAAGGAAGAATTCGAAATAAACTTGACGATCTCAAAGTTCTTCAAAGGTCTCTTTCTGCTCTTGATTTGCGGATGCCTCGAATGAATGAAGTCCTCCTCTATTTATACGAATTCTAAGGCGGTTTGAGAAGAAATTTCCTTTTCCTTCTCGATATGGGATTTAACATTTTTCTTCCTTGATATTTCCAGAAATCCTCCGTGAAATTCGAAAAGGTCGGCTAGTTTCGTAAACTGGGCTTTAATGGACCTTCTAGAAAGTCATATGTCGGCCCACCCGATTTAACCTCGATTCTAATCTTCGTAAACCAAGGTCTCTCCAGTCCTTTATAAATACTCCTCTTCACTCTCACTTCTTCACTTTTTCTCCACCACTTAAGGTATAAAGTTCTACCTTCTCTCTAGAACTTTCTCTCTTCGCAAAAAGAACGAACTGCTCCTATAATTAAGTTCGGTCAACTCAACTATGTGAACCAAACTTTAGTTGAGTTCGGTTTAATTTGGACGACCATCCTTCTTCTTTATTTCTTCCACCTCTCCTTAATTATGATGCGACCACTTTTGACAATATCTCTTTTCCCCTTTCTTTTTTATTTCTAGAGCTGGGCTTAAATCAATTCTCATTGGGCCCATTAAACTCCATCAACACCTTTTTTAATTATGCTGCACTTACTCATCATCCTTCTCCTCCTTTATTCCTTCCTTCTTTCTTTAAAATAATAAATCCAGCTCCCTTCTTCCTCAATAATGGCGATCTTCTTCCTTTTTAAATAATGTCGACCTTTTTTTTTTAATTATGCCAAGCTTCTTTTTTAATTAAGTGAGTTCGACCTCCTTCACATCGACTTTCGCCCCTATTAGCCGATCTATTCCAAGTGCTGCCTTAATTTTCTACTCTTTATTTGCCAAAACAAGCTTCTCCTTCTTTTAAGCTAACCTGCACTTCTTGAAATTTACCCAGATCTGCACTGCTTCTCTTCACCGACCTTCTCGATTTGAGTTCAGGTTTTTCCCGCCGGACTGCTCTCTTCGCCAACCTCCAGACTCTTAACAGCCGATCTCCTCTTGACGAGGTAATGCTCACCGACCTTCTTTAATTCTTAGTTTAATAAATAATTTTATTAAAACGCAGACCTGTGTGATCTCCTTTTAGTTAGTGGAACCGAGCTTCATCGTCACAGCCGACCAACTTATTTTGGTTTCAAAACTTCTTCTTTTCTCTCCAAAAGCTGGCCGTAATATTCTCCTTGTTTCCTTTCGTTTTCCAAGTAAAGTTGTTCGTATTTTTAGAAATCTCTTCTTCACCAATTTATGGTCTCTATTTCCTTGTCGACCTTGCTTCTACTTATACCGAACTCTCACATATCTTCCTTATTCCTGATGTGTCTTTTAAACTTCGTTCACCGAATCTCACAGATGCCTCCAAACTTGACCGATTCTACCAGTTCTTCCAGTTCGTCAGATTCTACAAGCTCTTCCAGCCCACCTGATTTTTCGCCGAGCCAGAGTGATCCTACAGAAAAACGAGTGGCTTCTCCTGCACCCGCTCCATCCGATCCGACCTCATCTAGCTCCTCCAACTCTTCTCAATCCTCGCCGAGCCAGAACGATCCGAAAGGAAAACGTGTGGCTTCTTCTGCTCTTGATTCGTCTGATTCACCGTCCTCTTCTAGTTCTTCCTCGATATATGAGGAGGTCAGCCCATCTCAGCCTGCCGACGATGTTGACGAGGTGCACAATGTCGAAGTAGGTAGTTCAGTCGGAAAAATCTGAACTCAAATCGAGAAGGTCGGTGAAGAGAAGCAGTGCAGATCTGGGTGAGCTTCAAGAAGTGCAGGTTGGCTTAAAAGAAGGAGAAGCTTGTTTCGGCAAATAAAGAGTAGATCTCGAAAATTAAGACAACACTTGGAATAGATCAGCTAATAGGGGCGAAGGTCGATGTGAAGGAGGTCGAACTCACTTAATTAAAAAAGAAACTTAGCATAATTTAAAAAAAAAAAAAAGGTCGACACTATTTAAAAAGGAGGAAGATCACCATTATTGAGGAAGAAGGGAGTTGGATTTATTATTTTAAAGAAAGAAGGAAGGAATAAAGGAGGAGAAGGATGGTGAGTAAGTGCAGCATAATTAAAAAAAGGTGTCGGTGGAGTTTAATGGGCTCAATGAGAATTGATTCAAGCCCAGCTCTAGAAATAAAAAAGAAAGGGGAAAAAAATATTGTCAATAGTGGTCGCAGCATAATTAAGGAGAGGTGGAAGAAATAAAGAAGGAGGATGGTCACCCAAATTAAACCGAACTCAATTAAAGTTTGGTTCACATAGTTGAGTTGACCGAACTTAATTATATGAGCAGTTCATTCTTTTTGCGAAGAGCAAGAGAGAAAATATATATATAAAAGAAAGATGAACTAAAAAAAAGGTAGAGAGAGAAAGTTCTAGAGAGAAAGTAGAGCTTTATACCTTAAGTGGTGGAGAAGAAGTGAAGAAGTGAAAGTGAAGAGGAGTATTTATAAAGGATTGAGGCCCATTAGAAAGCCTGTACTAATTGAAGTCCGTACAAGAAAACGATCTAAAGATGGAACTGTGCCAAGTGGCACAAGAATAGAGCGACAAAAGATTTTTCCCATCAAGTTATCTCCGGTCTCAATTCAAACCGAGCTAAAAGGTCCATGAATTTCGCCGAACTCATTTAAAACAAAAGAGGTAATATTCAAATCAAAAGTCTCGTTTTATTATAAGATAGTTCGGAAAAATACAACTTGAGTTAAGGTCGACGACCTCGTTAACAAAGGGAAAACTCGAAATAAACTTGACGATCTCAAAGTTCTTCAAAGGTCTCTCTGCTCTTGATTTGCGGATGCCTCGAATTAATGAAGTCCTTCCCTATTTATACAAATTCTAAGGCGGTTTGAGAAGAACTTTCCTTTTCTTTCTCGATATGGGATTTAACATTTTTCTTCCTCAATATTTCCGGAAATCTTCCGTAAAATTCGGAAAGGTCGGTCAGTTTCGTAAACTGGGGTTTAATGGACCTTCTAGAAAGTCGTATGTCGGTCCACCCGATATAACCTCAATTCTAATATTCGTAAACCAAGGTCTCTCCAGACCGGTCTCGATTAATACCGGATTAAACCGAGGGTGCGAAGTACACCACCAACAGTTATCCAATTTTTAACAAGTTAAACTAAGTGAGTGGTTTAATGCATTTAATCAAATTGCATAAAATTTCTTCATTAGCTTCATCAGCGATCATCAAAGTCTACATGATCTATGTTAATTGATATATGTAGTAGCTTCCATCACATCATAAGCTTGAAATTCCCTTCACTCCTTCACATCTATAACATGATTTAACAAATGACAAAAAATCAAACCAATGACAGCAAGAATCTACATGATCCAGAAAATAAATATCACAAAACAGAGCCAAGTTGGAGGGGTGGGAGTTGGGTGAACAAAAACAAAAGTTTTCATTACTAATAGGATACCATTGTACTCCAAGTATACAAGAAAATAGTGTTCAAAATGAGTGATGATTAATCTTCCACTGCTTAGATACTTAATTAAGAGCGATAAAAATAACAAATATTTATTAAGAAAATTTGGGGCTTTGTGATTTAAAGAGTTCTGTTGATTTGTTTTGTAATCGTTATCTCTGCCCATATAATCGACAGTCGAGATAAAAGCCGATGAGCTATGAAGGATTTAATCTTCTGTGTAATTATTATTTGTTTAATTTGTCCTGTTAGAGATTTTTGTTTTCCCTATCTATTCTTCTTTATCCAGTTTGATCATTTTTGAAGTGTCATTAAACTATGAAATCTTTAATCAAGGGACTAAATCTACAAAGCTCCATTGATAATAAACATAAACAAATAAATAAACATTAAATTTTTGATTAGTTTCATTGTATAGATATATAGATCATATCATATCATCATTATTTCACACCACTCTTGCACTAAAAATGAACACATAATACATAAGAAGTCAAACAAGTTTTCACAAAAGAGGCAAGTCTCTAAGAGAAAACATGATAAGAGATAAGATATCTCGTTTTTACGTAAAGGATCTTGTTCTCTTTTATTTCTTTTCATCATCATTAAAGCTTTTAATCATGTCTAGCATCACATCTTGCAAAGGATTAAGTGTGCTCTTCATAATTAGTGAGTAGTTCCATTATGAGGTTTTAGATAGATAGATTAGGGTGCTGAAATGCTTGATAAGCGAGTTTAGGTTCTAGATCTGCATCATTTATTTTCTACTAAACAAATCTCTATGCTGGATCCATGAACATCACATGTGGTCTAGATCTGAGGTATTTTCACGCCTGAGAAGTGTTCGCTGAAATACCTGAACCAGGTTTAGTAGAGGTTTAAGGGTCTTTCATCATGATAATGATAGCTTGCTTCTCTTAATTGACTCATTGAACCGATTTTTAATGTTTGCTGATTCATGCTTCTCAAAAGGGATTTTAGTATAAAAGATGATTAGTATAGAAGTTTAATACCTTCATGAGAGGATTATCTTGATATTGAGTTCATGTTAAATGAAGTTGCTTAATCATTTGGTTTATTAACTCACTAGTTTAATATGGAAGCACCCAAGTCTTTTATCTTGTCTAAGATCTCTACTTCATCAGCTTATATCATCATTTGATTATCTATCTTGCTTACTTGTTTGTTTATTTGCTTCTGCTTTAGTTTAAGTCTCTTGTTTTTTGTTTTTGTTCATTTGCTTGCACTTTAAGTGGTTTAGACACCAAAACCCATTTATTGATTACGCTTGACTTAAGATACAAAGCATCTTAAACTAGTGTCTAACCACAAGTATGGATTGATACCTCTTCATTATTACAATAAAAAGGGATTGATAACCCTTGCACAAGACCTAAAAAGTCTTAGTTATCAATTGGCACCGTTTGCTCGAGATCGAACCCGAGTCACCCGCGTGACAGGCGGGAATACTTACCACCGTCGGATCACTGGTCTTCATTGACATTCATTTTAACCGTTGCTAAGATTAAACATACCTAACATAACCCGAATCACCCCACATGCACCCATGAGATTCAAAATTTAACAATACTATCATGGTAACAACGACATATGTTGACTAGAGACAGACTCATATTTACGTCTCTTACCCGTGGCACCGTTTAAAAATGAACACAAAAAATGAAAAAAGAAATCATCAGCGATCATCCAAATCTACATAATGCTAAAGAAGCGTGCTTGAGATATCAATCACATGAAGCGACAACGAGAATCTTCTTGATACAGAATATTAGTTTCACCAGTTGACACCTTATGAGAAGTTTTAAGTACCCTACAATTGATTGACAGATGACTCAGAAAATCAACATAAAACTCAAAAGAAAAAAAAGCGTCTAGCTCTCTTTTTTTTTCAAGGTTTTTTTTCTCCCGTGATATCCTTGTTCATCACATTTATATGCCATAAATGAACATACATCTAGATCAAAACTTGATTGTTGGAGAATGTTTGGAATATAAACAGAAAGTCATAATTACAAATACCTATTTTTCCATTTCATACAAAAAGAGAAGGGTGAAGTCAATATATGTATCGAGGTTGTGATGTTAATAGTCTAATAGAAAAAAAAACATTAGTATTGCGTAAAGAAAGAAGAGGCATAATATCCATGTGCCTTCAGAGATTGGAATTTAAACGGATCATATCAATAATATCATTAATTCATTATGCATCAGCACAGTATAGCAATCTTTGGAATATATACCCAAAAGTTTTCAAGAGTTCTAATAGCTGCTTTCCATCTTTCATAATCCCATACCATTATCTAAAATCTAAATAATAAGGCTCATAGATATGTATATTAACCTTTCTTCAGTTAATTAACACCTGAAAAAAATTATGGCTTCTCTGTTCTCTCTCTTTGGTTCTACATTTTGGGCAACCAGCAACACATTTGGTATCAAGGACGAAACAAACCTAGGAAATCTAGAAAATTAAGGGAAATGCATATACCTCAATGATTATGGCTAAGGCCAAGCTTGGAGTACACCAGAAAGAGGAAACATCAGAGTAAGAAGGGTGTTGCTTTTATCAAATAATTCAAGATTAGAAATACATACACAAACCTAACTTGACGGTTTCTCCTTGGAACAATGAAACAAGTGAAACAAGTTACTGAAAACAAAGCATTCTCATTCATTGATAAATTTAAATTGCTTACAATTTACAAGCGGAGGCAATCGACCTTTAATAACAGTTTTGATTACTCTCTGGTAAAAGTATATACGATTTAAGAAAATGTGTTTGAAGGCAAGTTATTCAAATAAAGCTCCCTTGTCTTCACTCTTCAGGGAATGTAATACATTGGATTTGCAAGTTTGAAAGATCGTTGAGACATGGAGGAACCCAACAAATCACTCCACTGATCACCTGAATTGCCTCTAATCCTATATCCCTCTTTCACCATCTCATCCCTCTTCTCAGATTTGTATAACGTCGCCGTTTTGTGCTGTTCATCCGGAGATCTGTTCATAGAATACACAAAGTCCAAAGAAAGAAAAATGTCTTAAGAGAACACACAAAAGATTGCAAATGGGGCAATAAACAATACAATCCATAGATCAAAACTCCTTATGATTGATTCACCAGCATTAAACATTGCATGACCTAGAAACCAAAGAGCTACATTTTGTTTCTATGACTAAGTATGGTTACTTATACCTGAGAATAAGCTTGTCCCAGTTCTGGAAACCGGCACTGATGAGGTTTTCAACAGTGACAAGCCTGTGGCTCTCCTTCCTCCCTGTAAGCAAAAAAACTTTGTACCCCAAATCTAAAACTCTTTGGTAAAGCTTCAAGCTTGGTGCTATGGCTGGTGCTACTCCTCTCTCTACCCACTTATCAAACTCCGAGTGATCAAAAAGCTCAAGCCTGCAAAAAATCCCCGAATCAAAAGCTCAACATCAAACAAAAGGAACAAGATTGAGAAACCAAACGCAATTTTGAGAGAGATTGTGAATAATTTGGTGTGTACCCAAAGCCATGGTCAATGTAATAAGGGAGATTCGACAAGAGAGTCTCGTCGATATCGAAAATCCAAATATCTTTGCCGTCGCCGGAGGATTCGACGACGGAGCTCGCGAAGTTCGAAGCTTCTTCAGAGACTCTCTCAAGATCGGTGACGTAGCCTTTACCCAAAACGTAGTCCTTGATGTAATCGGCGCACTCCACCGGAATCGTTTGCCACGGCGCGAGGTTGTTCGTCTCCGCCGCGAATCTCCAGCTCGTGCAATGCAGATCGACCTCGTCGCCGCCGTCATCGGGATTCTTGTGCCGGGTCGACGGATACTCGAGAATCGACGGCTCGTCGGAAAACGCCGAAGAAAACAAGGAAACCACAAGGAATATCACATAAATCTTCATCGGAGAATCACCTGGAAAATCGAATCAATCGAAAAACCCACTCAGAAAAAAAAAACGAAAATTGGGTTTTCTGAAATATCAATTGGGTGTTTGAAGAATCAAATGAGAATTTCCGAGAAGTGACACAAATTGAGAAAATCTGAATCAATCGAAAAACCCACTCAGAAAAAAAAGAAATTTGGGTTTTCTGAAAATTTCAATTGGGTGTTTAGGAATCAAATAAGAACTTCAGAGAAGTCCCAAATGTTGAAAAATCTGAATCAAATGAGGGTTTATCGAAGAGGGAATACACGGCGAAAGGAATCAATGGAACAAAATCGAAATCCGAAGAAAAGGGAATATATAAAGGACAAGTTTCGAATTTTGATTAATGGAATATCGTACGAAAGAAGAAACCTTCGAATTTTAATTTCAATGGAGAAGAAATGAAAATAATCGGAATGGTAAAGACTGTTCCTTTTAAAGGCAAAGAGACGACGACAGGAGTGGACGGTGACGTGTAGAAAAAGTCAATATAAAAAGAATCTGTTCGTTTCGGGTTCGGATCTAAGAGAAAAAACCCGATTGGGTGGATCCGAATATCCGTCGATGTTCAGTGGGATCCACAACTGATCCTTTGATGGCGTAATCACCCTTCTTCTCTTATCCTATTGGCTATTAATGATGTCTAATTACAAAACGATAAGGGTATTTTTATTCGACAACGAATCATATATTTTTGTTTTCGGACAACGAAAGTTTGTTATGTGATTTTATTTTTCTTATTATTTAATTGATTTTAAAGATCAATGTTGGTCTAGTGATTAAATGTGTCATGATGATATTCGATTTTTAAGTACTGTAGATTTTAAGTCATTTCAAAATTCTATGTATTAAGATGGTATAGTGGTATGGTATGTATAAAAAATGTCAATGCATGTAACATAATTCTCACAAACTCTTATAAAATTTGGGTAAGATCCTAAATCCAAACTATTATAGTAACAATTTCGTCGGAAAAAAAAACTATTATAGTAACAAATTTGTAGTCCAAACAAATGGATACTTGCACGCACGCTAAGCTACGCGTGAATTTGGTTGTGAAATAATTTTTAAGTTATCTAACCAATAACGTGATTATAAGGCTAATTAATTATTTTTGAGTCGTGTTAATGATCAAAACTTGTTTACTCGACTTTTGGCCAAAAGTCAATCAATATACATTATTTAGATATAAAATATAGTACATGTTTTAGTCCGGTTTAATTTATGTTCTTTTGATATGTGTTTACTTATCGGATAAGACAAAACGTTTTCAAAACTCATTCAATCATTTTCTCTCTTATTGTTTATTACATATTTTAAAGTATATAAGATGAATAGTATGTACAATGGTGAGGTCCGTGAGGAAGTCAAATGATTGAAAAGCTTTACATGAAATACATTTCTGCGGAATAGCCATGAAACAGTAGAAAATTAGTTTCAGCAGATTAATATTTTTTCCGTTATACTGTATTGTAAGAAGTTAAGAGATAACAAAATTATTTGTAAGAGCGTAAAGATGTAAAATGTAAAATTTCGAAGAATATTTTGAATAATTAATAAGTTGAATGCTATTTTTCAGGTTTTGATATTGCTTTTGTTTTTTGTTTTAAACCTTTGGATTTGTTTTCTTAATATCAATAACATGTATTATGTATTATGTTGGGTTTGAATCCGGATGATGACACAATGACAACACTAACACCAATCATTAGACTATGAGTATTTTTACTATTAGATGATAGCCCTCATTTCTTATTATTTCTATATTAATCTGACTGACTAATCAAATCCAAAATATATCGGAATCATATGTGTAAAATGTAATATGTGCTCAAATTGCATATCATTAATGACCAAATGATTTGTTTTAGATGAAAATATCTCCATGCTTATTATCGTTTTGAGCATACACAATTGAATATGGTTTTGTGTGCATACTAAACATATTCACAGTATCTATAACAAAGATAAAAGTGGTTCAAAACTGATTTCTGATTTTGGTTTGCATCTAAACCTAGACGACATGGAGGCTGAAATAAAACCAAACCCTGTGATCACGAGAAGCTAATCGGATTAAGATCAAAATGTTCATCCCATCAGTTGATCCAAATCAGTATCACTTAGAAATGGTATGCATTTCTATACTTTTAATCCGATTCCACAAAGTAAACATCGTTTTAAAAATAAAATAAAAATCCAAATGCAACCAAAACCTCAATCTTATAAATACACATGATCGCACAAAAGAGAGAGCATTATCATTTTGCTTCAATTCCTTTTCTTTATCTTTTGTTAAGTAATTATGTACCAATATGGTTATGGTGTATTTGTTGAGACCTACAAACCGGAGGTGTAATCTTGTACTGTAATAAGTTACTAAAGAAATGAATGAATTTATGTTGACCCACAAAAATAAAATGAGCGCAAAAAACGGCTGTGAGAACATCTCGCTGGTTAAATAGGCTTAAAACGCTACGCAGTTTCAAGAACATGAACCAAAACGGACCACGCTTTTTCTTTTGTTTGCCTTACTGATTCTTACGTCAGAATCGTATCCATTCGATGATGGCTGCATAAAAGAGTGTGATTGGACAAAAGGTTCACATTTTGTAACGGCAAATCAGTCACCGGCGAAGTACGGTGGTTCTTCATCCACTCCTCATGACTCTCCGGTCATAAGTATACCTATCAGTCGCAACGCATGGCTACTGCATCACATCCCGCAAACATACCATAACAACAACATTACTCTCTTAAACTAACCTGACTTCTCTCGCAAGTAAACAGATAACGTAAGAAACAAGTTATTGTTACCTTAAGTAAGGGGCAGATGAAATGGCTTGGAGGTTGCTTCGACGAATCAGAAAGCGAGTTTCATGCTTTATCAGCTACTTTCTTCAAGATCTCCAACATTGGAAGAATCTGATTCTCTAGATCAGGCCTGTCTTTAGCACGGAGCTCTGTACAATACAAGGCTAAAGCTGCTAATTGCCTGGTTTCTTTAATTGGCCAATCACCTGCTTTCTTATCAAGAATCTGTATCAATTCCTCGTCGTCGTTGTTCTCCATGGCTATTTCTACTGTATACATCAGTGCTATAGCCGGTTGAGCGGTAAGCAGCTGCAGAATGATCATACCAAAAGCATAGGCGTCTGATTTCGGAGATAACATTCCAGTTCGTTGATATTCAGGATTATATAGCATAACGTTCCAATGGGGCTTGTCTGTTTGTACATTATGAATTTTTGATAAGGGGTCGACTTGGATCATTGTGGAGAGACCTTCGTCTCCTACTTTGCTGACGAAGTAGTGGTCAAGTAAGATGTTGCCCAGTTTAAGAACACGGTGAATGATTGGTTTTGGTTTTGATTTGTGGAGGAAGACGAGCGCTGATGCGACTTCCCAAGCGATTCTGAACCAGACGAACCATGATATTGGTTGGCTATTGTTGACTTGGAACAGTCTATCTTCCAAGCTACCGTTTTCCATCTACTCGTAGACTAGAGTACCGTGGTCAGGGCATGCTCCTAAAAAAAGAGAACCAAGATTTTGAGCTAAGAGAGAGAAAGAAATGTCAGTAAAAGAAAACTTTCAAACAAGAAAAACTTTTGGATTTTTGTGTACCTCTTGATCGAATTACTTGAATAGGTTACTTTCAGCTGAATGCAAAACTTTGACGGCAGCGATTGTGTGATGCAGATTACATTTGTAAACAGCACCATAAGCTCCTATTCCAATCTTTAGATCTTCAGAGAATGATGAAGTTGCGGTAGTGATTTCTTTCCAAGTGAACTATTGGTATTACAGCTTAGGAGCCACAAGAGAACTTTCTTCAAGCTTCTGCTTCTTCTTGGCATCGTGTGTTTATTTCATCTCTGTTTCTCTTCTTTGTGCAGCTTCTTTCTCTGCCCTTCTCCTCTACTCAAGCTTTTGCAGTTTCTTTTAATCCCTTGGCCGTGGGTTCATCCCCACAGATGGTGGTTCAAGTTTTCATTGATCCATAATATATTTTTTTTCTATTATTGTTTATTTTTTTGTGTGATTTTTAGCACAAACCCCTAGAAAATCACACTTCATTTGTCTCCCTCTTCCATCTTTACAAAGTTGGAGTTTTCTCGCTAAGCTCCTTCGTCGTCGTCATTTGTCTCCCTCTTCCATCTTTACAAAGTTGGAGTTTTCTCGCTAAGCTCCTTCGTCGTCGTGATGAACTTGGAGGCAGGGATGGGGAACATGGTGATGTGTCTGTTAACAGACTCATTTAGGTTCTGCTATGTATATTCCCCAGAGTGCTGGTCCTTTGCAGCTTACTCAGCTCGTCAGTAAGTTCCTCAACAATGTAACAATTATTCTCTCTCTGCCTAAATTCATTTAAAGAAGTGATTTTTAGGATTTCCAAAAACTTACTATGTTTCAAGTGTTTATTTACTCTCTTTTTTTTGATGGTTTTTTTTCTAGCTAATCCTGATTGTCGAATTTTCTGTTAATTAATTACTAGAAATGATTGCATCAAATTTGAATTTGGGTATTTGATAAAAGCAATTGTGAGAAGCAATTGTGAGTAAATGAGAGAGAGCTCAAAACAGATCTAACACACTGGTCACCGGTAAATATGAGTATTGTGAAATAAAACATGAACCCGAAACATATATAGTCCTACAAAAGAGCAGCAACTATTATCAGTAACACAAATAAAAATCTTATCGCCTTTCTCAATTATGGAATTTGGGGAGCTTTCAGCCTGAATCTCTGCATATTTCACAACAGCATAGCAAGGGTTAAGATGTGAGTCCCAAACTTCCAACAAGAAAGGTGTAAAGAAATCATGGTACAAGAACTCCAAGAAACATCACGCCTGAAAAAAAAATTAAACAGTAGAAAGAAAACAAAGATTTGTGTTAATGAGCCATATACAATAACAAAGACAAACTTTTCGAACTTATGCTAGAAGCAGTTTAGATCTTGTCAAATGGAATTACTAAAAACAAATGCATTTTATATGGGACAGATAACACATTAGGAGTTACTTGATAAATAGTGGTGAGGAAAAAAAATTTCAGGTTAGATTGACAAATATTCAAACATCCAACTTCAGAGTTCTATGTTTCAGTGTCGGATATCAGAATAGGTGCACCTTTAGGCTGTGTGATTGCTCACTGTGACAAGATAAATGAGCTACAACAATTAGTTTTCATGTGACAAAACTATAAACAGAGAAATACATTAAAAAAACATAAGCATAAAAACTTTTATGAAAAAAAGGAAGGAAACAAGGCAAGACATGCTCGACTTTGTTTATTCTGCAATTACAAGTGTCTAAAAAATGATTTTGGGAAAATATATTTTTAAAATCGCAGAAAAACTTTGAGGAAGATTTTTTTTTTATCATATGCTAATGCTATAAGATTCAATTTCAAAATTGAGCTTCAATACCTTTAAGAAGAACAAAACAAAAACATTAAATGAGGATATCTTACCTTCTCCCCTAAGGAGTTTCTCCTCTAAACACACATGCTATTTTATCTCAGCCATAAACTTTTCATACTCAGAATCTTTAGCAGAGGATGGATTCTCTGCAGGTGGCAGTACAGGAGGCTTGGGAGCCCATGGTATGTTTCCCATGCTCTGCGAATATTCAGCAGAAGGTGGCATAGGAGGATTAGGTGCCCAAGGTGCATTACCTAGACCTTGTGAGTGATCAGATGTTGACAAAGGAGGATTGCTAGCCCGTGGGATGTTGTAACCCATGCTTTGGGAATGATCAGTAGACAAAGCCGGTGTTGGTGGCAGTGGAGGTAGAACAACATTGTAATAAGATGGATAACTAATGTACGGAGGCTGTCCAGGCAAAGAGCTACTATAAACACTCATTGGCACAGATGAAGCAGTAGTACCATTGTCTGCTTGTACCCCTGGTGGGAAGCTTTGTTGGCTTTCACTAAAAACGGTGCCAGGTGGAGGAGCTTGTGTCACATGAGGAGGAGGTGGTGGTGGGTAGTTCATTCCATAAGGAGAGATATGTTGACCAGGGGGAGGATGATAAGAACCCGGAGGGGGAGGAGCATATGGAGAATAGGAAGGAACAAGAGAACCCCAAGGAACTGGAGCTGTTGAGTAGGGAGGATTTGGCAGTTGCCCACCAGTGGCATATTGTTGTGAAGGATAGGCACTGGGTGGCTGGTTTGGAAGAGGATAAGCTTGAGTTGGTGGCTGAGGAGCTGGAGGTCCAGATGGTGTTGGCTGTTTACCAGCAATCCTAACAGCAAGTGTTTTACCTTCTAACCAGTAACCATTCATTGCCTGAATGGCAGTATTGGCCATATGGACATCAGCATACTTCACAAAACCATAGCCTCTGCTCAAACCAGACACACGGTCCTTGATTACCTTTGCCATCACAATTTCACCAAAAGGTGAAAACAGATTAATCAAGCCATCATCTTCAAGCATCGTAGGTAAAAACCCAATGTACAGATTTGTTTCGTCATATTCTTTAGAAGGTTTGACCGAAATTGACTCTAAACCAGGATGCGCACTTGCCCCACTCCCCGCATTGTTAACCCACAGAGGATTACTTCCCGGACCAAGAGCCAAGGTGGGACTCTGTTTAAGTGAAGATTCAGGGACAGTTCCTCCCAACTCAGCCAAGAAGTTCTGATATTCATCGTCCATTTTCTTTCCAGTGGTACCCTTCACCGGGCAATCAATAGTAGGGTGTCCACCATCACCACAAATCTTACAAAGAACATCACTTTTAAAGGTATTTGTACGAGAAGGACACGCATACTGTCTATGTCCTGGCTCACCACACAGCCTACAGAATTCTTCATCTCTTATCGTTCCATTCAAGGTGGCAAGCTCCCTGAGCTGTTGCCTCTTGTGTTCGTTCAGCACCTCATCAACAGGTTGCAACAGCTTCTCAACCATACCAGCAGCAGCTTCAAGAGCTTCCTGAGTCTCAGCCTCGACTAAAACATGCAAGTCCTCATTTTCCGAAGGGTCATATTTCAAATCCTTCTTCTGCTGGAGCCTACCTTCTTTTACAGATCCTTTTCCCCGAATCACAATCTTAGCACCTGTTTCCCTCTCCATTCTCTTCTGAGTATTCCCCCTGGGACCAATAATAAGACCGATGAAATTGTAACCGGGAAAATCCTTCATCGGAATGAAAAGCTTCTTTTGGAGCTTAGGAGGCCTATAATCCGCCGGAGGTTTAAAAGCAGGGTTCTTCTTAATGATCTGAGAGATGATCTCTTGTCTTTCTCTATTCAACCTCTCTCTCACTCTGTACTCTCTAGTGTTTATCCTAATTCCCATGTTATCATACACAGGTTCTGGTGAAGGAGACCTTTGTCCTTCCGGTCTATCATCTAAAGCCATACTAGACTGCAACATCCTACTGATCTCAAGTAACCTACTATTCAAAGTTTGAATCTCGGGATCAAATTCGATACCACTGGTGAAATCCTTCATGAAATCAGGTAGCTGTATTACCGGTTTTGGCTCATCATCTGCCCATCTAGACTTACGCTTCTTCATCCCAGTATTGGAATCACTACCGCCACCACCACCTTCGGTGATAGGGTTATTAACCAATTGAGTAGGCGGAGGATCCCACCGGCTCCGACGTTTTCTCCGGCTTGTGTTTTCTTCCTCTCCGCCAGATTGATCCTTGTTATCATTCAATGTCTTGCTAACAGCATTCTCCGATAATAAAGGTTGCAATAATTCAGGCTTAGCTACAGAATCATTAATTTCGGGCAATGAACCATTAAAAGCTTCAACAATCGGAGGTTTTGAGTGATTCAAAGCGAGAGAAGCAGGATTGGAATCCATGGCAGACAGAAGATATCGTGCCTAACAAATTTACCGGCCTGTTAGGCGCCCAGCGCTGCCCTATCGCTGAAATCTGAACCGAATCGGTCAAACAAACCGTAGACCGATATTATACCGATTTATCGCCCAGCAAATTGATTAAAACCGATTACTTTCCGGTTTAGTGACAAAATTTAACTTGATAGATCTCCTTGAATAAGATAGTCAGATCCTAATGGGCTTTTGATAGAGGTCTGTTCGTTGTACAAATATGAGAGCACAACACCCTATTTATATTGAGTTCTCAGATTCTTTTTTCATAGCAACTGTCGATGTGGGACAATTTACACAACAAATTTCATAGCAAAGTTCCGATAATCCCGATCTCTTCTATTTCCGATCTTCTTCATCTAAGCTGCTTGAGATTTCCGATTTTGTTGATTTCAGTCTCTGTTTGGAATCAAGCTCAGAGGCGGAGAAGCATAACTAAAACCGATGATCTCTGTTAACGGATCGAGACGGAACGAGCATCCTGGCTCATCAAAACCGCCAACTCAGGTATCGCATTCTAACTTGGAACATGACCAGACAGATTCGCCGTTAGGTCATTAGACATTGAATAAGGTAATGGGAATCGTGAAGGTTGATGCGGAAAATTGAAATGCCAGTGTGGAAGAGTTTGAAATTAGGATTGGTCTCGTTAAGCTTCGAAGGAGATGCTATCTATTTGAACAATGAGGAACTGGCCAGATTATCGCTTATAGCTTGTTTGATTATCGTTTTCTATGTTTATCCTGCTCAGACATCTCAAAATTGGAAATGATTATTAGTAGTGGCTTGTTGATTTGGTTTATTGAAATGGCCTTCTGCAACAAGCTTAATGATATTTTGAAGCAAGGGGTTTCTCAAAGCTCAAATGTTCAAGTGACATCTATGCTTGACTATCTCCGTTACATGTCACCAAGCTTTTTTGTTGGTGGTAGGTTTATATATCTTCCCTTGCTTTTACTGGTTTTGTTGCTTGCACATTTGCTTGATTTGATAAGTTTTTTTAACGTTTTGTGTATGTACATTTGCTTTCAAGTCTCTCATGGGGGAACTCCTTTTAGCAAGCTTTCTCTAACTTTGGCCAAGTGACAGAAGGTAAACCATTGGTTCTGTTTCCTTTTCATTACACAATAGAAAGTGTTTTTGTTTAGATTGGTTCTAAATGGCTATGTGACTACATGTATGTAAAAAGTTATTCACGAATGTTTCAGTTATTTTAGTCAAACCCGATGGAATGATGATTTAATTTGATTATGAACGTTTGTGAGATGGTATCAGTGTTTAGTTTCGTAGTGTCTGCTTAGGGACCTAGTAATGTTGCTGATTAATTATGGTAAATATTACTACTCATCTGAATGTTGTGGCTTTGGTTGTGCTTGTGTATTTGCTAGCATTCTTCATTAAATTCATCATCGATGCTGTTGCTCGATTTTCTTTGCTAAGCTGGCTTTGAATTGTATTAGGCAAGAAGAAAAAGGTAACACAGTTTACTACTTTTACAGGTGAATGAAAATTGTGGGGATATATGAGCTTAACAACATATTTCAACCAGCAGAATCTGACATTCTTCGTAAATGTCTACTGTGTCAAATGACCATGTAAGAACCATATCTACATGACGACAAAAAAAAAGAACCATATCTACATAATTTTTTTTATAGGTTGTATTCTATTTTATTTATATAATTCCAAAATTTGTGTATGATTGCAGGCCTGCAAGGTTACAACTTACAAAAGCACCAAATAATACGAAGAGGAGAATAGAAGAATACACAAATAATAAGATTGCAGATGTGATGTTATAGTTTTAGTGACGTTTGTATTTTATGTAAAACAGATTTCTGTATTTGATCAATTAGATTATTCGTGTTTTTTTTATTGTTCGAGTTTTTTGATTATTCGAGTTTTTTTTGGGCAAAACAAATTTATAGTAATTTGAACTTAAAAAGTCACAGTACATTTGATTATTCGAGTTATCTTGTGAATTTTGAATTACTATTATCAATATTAAATAGCATAAAAATAATTTTTTAAAAAATAAAATTTTGATATATGTCGGTTTATAAATGATCCAAAAAGAGAGGGTTTGACTCTTGAGTCAGAATTAAACTAATATTAGATTTAATAAAACCGACACAATTTTTCCGATGTAGAAGTAAATGTCATTTATAAAAATGAAGTTAATATACTTAACGTCGTACGATATTAAGACAGTTTATAAAACGACACTATTTTATTAAATTAATAATAATCAACGTCAAATGCCGCTTAATTTGAAACAGTTTTATTTAAAGCCTCTTTTGCTATCAATCCATAGAAAAGTTCTCGAGGGTGCTGCTTTTAATTTTGAGTGAATTAGGTGAATATATCAAATGGGGAACGAAATTCGCTGCATGACCAAAGGCCCACCAAGAATTGTTATCACTGTGTTCATGGTCATCAGTAATGACAATCTTACCCTCAAATATTTTACTGAAGCTTAACATGAACAGCAGGTTCTGACAATATGGTACAATTTATAGGGGACTAAAATATAAATAGAGTAGACAATATCTTTATGCAAGAAATTACAGCCATACAAATTTTTTTTCCTAGACGTATCATATACATTATAATAACAAGTTACATATTTTGATATAGATTAACAATTATTATATACACGATAAAAATAATGTTAGATTGATAATAATAATGAGTTATATAGATGATTAAAGATATTATTGATATACTCAGCATGTTACATATAAATTAATGTCCAACATTATAATTTACTAGATAAAAAATATGTTAAATTGCTAACAAGAATGAGTTATATAAATGATTAAAGATGTTATTGATATACTTAGCACGTAACATATAAATTAATGTCTAACCTTATAGTTAACATGGTAAAAAATATGTTAGATTGATAACAATAATAAATTATCTAGATTGTTATAGATGTTATTTTTGTAGTTAGTACGCTACAAATATATATAACACTCTATATATATTGTTAGCAGTCTAATAATAAAATTATAAAAGTAATTTAGATAAATACACACTATTATATACGTTAGCATCAATCTAATAGGATCATCATCGTTCTAACAGTTGAATACGAAGTTGTTTTTCCTTACAAAAAAACCAGAAAAGAAATTTAATTTGATCAATGATGGAGAAATCAGGTGACTATATCAGTGTGCAACCAATTCAGATAGATGCACACTTATCATACTGGTGATAGCAATTAACTCTCTTGCCGCCTGGTTCTTCGCTAGCGGCGATATTCTCTTCGGCAGCAATGGTTCCATCTTGGTTAAAGGAGCACTCACCCGATTTCGAAATTTGTACAGTCTCCAGAGCCGATAAAAAATATGTGAAATGATGTCTTTTGTAAACGTCGGTTCTGTTGCCAGAAAGATAAACACCAGATGAATTTTTGGTTTGAAAAGGTGTTACAATTGAATAGTTTCCCAAATTAATGCCACGTAGGGACAGAGTCTAGATTATAATCAATATTTTATTTTTGAGGAATCTGACAAAATTTCCTCTATAGTGTAGGTAGTCGCATAGATGAGTATGGGCTAAAGGGTATTTTAAAAAATTGAACAGTGTCGTCTGCTGCTCTTGGTCATTTTTGCAAATAGTCTTGTCGGGATGGTCATTTGTTATAATTATTCTTTAATTTTTCTTTTTTTTTTAAAATTCTAAGTCACCCACTTTTAAGATTAAGAAATATGTTGAACGTCACTAAAAAATGGTTGAATGCGAATCAGTGGAATTCTGATATTTCAGAGCAAAATCTTTTTCAGATAACTAATATGACCTGAATTCCAATAAAAACTTCAAAACTTTACAAAATTGATTGTGATGAGTTAAAAAACCTAAATCAAGTGGTACACTAAGACCATCTCTATGGTAGGTGTTTTTGGACACAGTATCATAGGATTAACTGATTTTTTTAAAAAAATTAACACTACAAGAAAAACACCGTTTTACAACGGTCAAAATCGTCGCTAATTCGTCGTAATAGGGCTATTACGACAAACTACCGACGATTTTCAAATCGCTGTAATAGACAAATCGTCGTAAAATCGTCGTATAATCTACGACGGTTTATTTTCGTCGTAACATCGATGGAAAAAGATCGTCGTAAACGCGTCGTACAGTTTACGACGACTTTACATCGGATTGTCTCGATTTGGTCTTCGACTGAAACCGTCGTAAAGTCGTGTTAAAAATCGACGTAGGATCGTCGTAAAATATACGACGCAAGTTTCGTTGTAATTCAATCGTAAAATATTTTAAAACACGGACGTATATTCGTCGTATCAGTCGTCGTATAATATTGTCATAACTTCGTCGTACGAGTTACGACGAATATACGATGGTTTAATAAAATAATAATAATAATATTACGACGATTATACAACGTTTTGTATAAATGAAATTAAAAAAAAATTAAATTCGAATTAAAATTTAAATTAAAAAAGAATTAATTTACAATTTTAATTTTAATTAAAATTCAAATAAAAATTAATTTTAGTAATTACAAAAAAACCCTAAAGATCTAAATCTAAACTAAGGTCGATCCCGTCACCGGCCTGCTCCGCATCGTCCTGCTCCACATGTTCTTTGCCGGGTCTTCGGTTAGAGGTTTCCGCCGCCTGATCCCTGGGTCTTCGGTTGGAGGCTTCCGGCGCCTGATCCCCGGCTCTAGGAGGATCAACCTCGAGAGACCGGAACATCTCCTCGTCCGTCTGCACCGGTGGTTGCCTCCTAGAAGGTGACGCAGATGATCTGACAACTCCAGCTGCCCGCAGCCTGTCCAATTGCGCCATGAGCACCGGATTGTCGGCCCCAATAATCTCGAAGAGATCGTACAACTGGTCGATCTTCGTCTCGTACTGGGTCCGCATCTGATCGATCTCCTAGCGGATAAGCGGATCCGGTGCCCGGACATGACCAGTTGCCGTAGCGGCCGGGCACTACAAGAAAACATGGATTTAGTGACCACAAGAACAGTCGCTATGTAGTCGCTAAAAGTCCATTTACGACGTATTAGCGACTAATTCAATTGGTCGCCAATATTGAGTCACTAAATAAAATAGTCGGTAATCAGTCGCTAAATAGCGACTGATTAACGACTAAAGCCTCTCGAAGTAAATTAGTCGCTAATCAGTCGGTAATTTTGCGACTGAATAACGACTACATTTGCGACTCAATCGCGACTAACAGCGACTATTTTTACATTTTCAAACGGTAATTTGGTGTAATTTAACGACTATGTACCGACTAATTCCCGACAACGTTGCGACTGATTTACTACTGCATTGTGACTGTTTTCATAATGAAATTCATTTTGGTATTACGAATTTGCTCCTTTATACCTTGTAATTTGAATCCACTTATAGATTTTATAAAAAAAATTGTTTCACATAATAATTTGACACTATATATATGAAAAGAAGAAGCATATAAACATTAAATTACATATGTTCTTCTAAAAAAAAAAGAGATCACATACAAAGTCAAATGTCATAGTAACTTCCATTGGAAAATGAGTTATTATATACAACAATGGAGATAAGTCAAAACGAGATCAAAGTCATTGAAAAATTTCTAGAGCCTAAGATTCTGAGAGATTACTAGAGAGCACCATTGATAAGAGTTCAAAGGAGACCAAAAGAGTTCAGAGAGGTAGAGTAACCTATGATTCTGGGAGAATAATGGTTTGAGGAGCAGAAGTCATCGGTGCAGCATCTGGCTCTTCAGAGGTGTTGTTTGCGGCCAAAAAGTCTAAAAACCCTGGATCAGTTGCAGCCAAATACCTTTCGACCAGGGAGAGTTTGTCGATCTTGGCTTGTTGCTCTGCAGAAACTCTTGTAAGCTCGGACTTTTGCCTTGCATTCTCAGCTGCTTGTTCTTCTATTTTGCGTTGAGCTTCTTCTAGTTGTTCTTGCAGAATCTTGTATGTTGAAGAGCTACCCGGGTACTTCCTCTTTCCATTGATATGCGACTGTGAAAGGCTTCCAATTCCATATGGAATGCCTCTTTCATTTGTGAATGTCGACTGCAACAACAAAAGAATGATTCAAAAAAAAAAAAAACAAACGATCACACTATATTATAAAATACAAACAACAAACAAAAAACGAGGACTTACCTGGAGAAAGAGGTCGTTCTCCTCTTCTACGGTTAGCTCCTCTAAAGCATCTGAGTCTAGTGCCCCTTGGTTACTAATTCTAGCTTCGAAGTTCCTCTTATATCTTTCAGCCACGCTCTCTGCCTTTCGGTCTACAAAGGTCCCATCTGCTTTTGTGTGAGTCTTGATGAAAACTTCACCAAGACTCACCGGTCTTTCCAATTCTTCTTCCTGCAATGATAAGAACAAGATGCAAGAGTTAAAAGTTTAAAAGAACAAGATGCAAGATGCAAGAGTTAAAAGTTCAAAAGAACCGATGATATAGTACTTACCATTTCTTGTTGGATTTGTAGATATGATTTTTGCCCTGACACGTGTATGTGAGGGCCAAGACCCTTACGTTCAGACAGTCGAGCCCCTGATGTGGTTGCATTCTTCTCTTTGGCTTCTTAAGTGTTCCAATACTGGGTCATTTGCTTCCAGAGAGTATCACCTATCCAATTAGGTTGCTCCCGAGAAGTCGTTACTTTGCTTACCATATCTTTCATCCTTTGTTGACATATACTCTCAAACTTTTGTTGAACAACACCAGTTATTAAGGGATCCCAGGTGTGTGTTTTCTACAAAAAAAATGAGAGAATATGATGTTAGTGAGAAAACATAAAAGATAAAAAAACTGAATCAAAGTTACAAAAAAGGGAATACATTACCGCGAATTCA